AACATGTTAGTTAGGTGACCAAGTTTTGAGTGAAAACACTACTGAGTGAAAAGGTACTTCAAAACTTGTATAACTGATTTGCTTCTTTTTGGTGGAAAAGTGCATTCTGATTTATTGATGACTGTCATTCACTTTTTTTCCCATTACTTTTTCTAATCTCTATTTGACATCATACGAACCATTCATGAGCAGAAAGATAATTCTGCCTATTTTTGTTCCACTAGTATTAGCAGAAAACTTACATCATATTGTGAAGAGTATGTCCAGATATATATCCTATTTATCTTTGATCCACATGCCAAGTTGAAGGGGAACAACGAAAAAAAAAGGAGGAGGAAGAAGAAGAAGAAGGAGAAGATGATTAAAAAGAAAAAGAAAAAAGAAGAAGGAGAATAAGATGAACAAAAAAAAGAAGAAGAAGAAGATGATGATAAAAAAAAGGAAGGAGAATAGGATAAAAAAAATATATATATATATTAAGAAGAAGGGGAAGAGGATTAAAAAAGAAGAAGAGAAGAACGAGAATAGGATAAAAAAAAAAGTTATAAAAAAAAGGGGAGAAAACTTCAAATGTTAATTATCTCATGGCATAATACAGCATCCAAACAAATGTCATTTTTTTGTTGTTCTTTGCAACCTGAGTCATCTTGCCAATAACACTCCCAGCTTCTAACAACTAAGAGAGTTCTTTAATCCTTCCATTTCCTATCATCTTTTCCTTCATGCTTAAATTTTTCATAAACTTTATTCTACTTGCACTTTTCTGGTTAAAAGGATTCCTAGGTCATGAATTACAAGTCCATGAAGCATCCTTGAAGGTGAATAAATTGTGAGTTAAACACTTGAGTGTCTTCTATCATGAATATTGCAAAATACACCATGCCATTGCAAAGTGCTCTGCTGCTTCCCATTTGCTTTACTCTTTCTCATACATCTCTTGCTCCATTATGCCTAATATTTTCCAAAGTTTGATGATGTCAAAAAAAGGGGAAACTAAGATGCCTTATTTGAGTTAATTAAGTGTTGGTTACTAGTTGAATTTGTCAACATTATCACTGTTTAATTACTACTGTTTGAATATCTGGTTTTGGATTCGGTATCAATTATTCAACTTGATCACATGACATGCTACATTGTTGTTGTTGTATACAAAACTAGCTCGTTGACTATGAAAATAGTTTGTTATTGCTGAACTTCAATGTTGGATTGATCTGTCAAGCTACTTGGATTTCTAAGGCATCAATTGTTTGTCATCATCAAAAAGGGGGAATTTGTTGCACCCTATGCTTTAAAATATTTTAATGATGACACAATTGATATAATTAAATTACAAATCCTAACAACCTTATTTGTTGATCAAAAAACAGGATGATTTTTGTTGGGTGGTTACAGCATATCAAAAGGTTGTTGAGATTCCAAATCTGAAGATAAGATAAAGCTTGAAGTTGTTGCAGTCAATTGAAGATAAAGAGCAGAATCAAAATTTGAAATTAAGAGATAAGGATAAAGTCTAAACAACATTATCATGGGAGCAAAAGTTTATGAAATTTTTTTACTATATATATACCCATGCTCCAATAGTCTCATAGTGAAGCAGCAAATGAGATCTAAATTTTTAGCCTAAGACTTGTGTTCTTTATTAACTTTTTTTACAAGCTTAGGTTTTAAGTGCTTCATCGTCACCTTTTAGCTTTTCTAGAAGTATTAGTAAGGTGGTTCATTTTAAGTTGATTTTTCTCCGTGTGTGGAGACTTGCTATTGTTGGTAGTAACAATAGGTGTGGGCTTATCGGTGGATAAGTGTAAACTTTGATTTAAAGGGTTGAATCAAAGTAGTGTGCCTCAAGAGTAGATTAGGATCTACTTGTACTTGAGTATTTTGGCTCATTGAAATTAGTGAAGTTTTTTTTTAAATCCCATTGGATTGAAATCCAAGTGGGTCGTGGTTTTTTACTCCTATTGAGCCTAGGAGATTTTTCCACGTAGAAATCATTGTGTTTTTTTTTATTTGTGCATCATTCTTGTGATTTCCTTTTATTAGCAAAAATTAGAAAATTATATTAAAAATTATATTTGAATAAAAATAAAAAAGAGAGATAGGTGCTACTACTCAATTCAACCCCCCTTCTTGAGTACCACTGGGACTAACACATAGGGTAGCCATGCCCTTCGTAGACTTTGGTTGAGACGATGGAATGAGTTGACAAATCCACTGTGATCTCGAGAGACTGTTTTTGAAACCGAGCTATGACAAAGGCGCGACGAGGTGGTAGGGATTTGGTTTTGTCGTTTATGTTTGAGGATATCCATGATAGGATGAGAGGCTTGTTAGGTTCGTCCAAACCTACGTATTGAAAGGTGAGGTTGTGGCCGTTGGTTGAGGTTGTCTATGATTTTTTTACTATGGTTCGGACAAGGCTGAGCTCATTAGGGGTTAAAGGGTCAAGTGGGTGAGGATGGCTGCATTCTGCAGAGGACCAAAAGAGCGTGAGGATAAAGAAGAGCAAGATATTCATGGCTATATGTACAAAAAAAAACACACCCCGGTCTTTGTTCTTTTATCATAATGAAACACCATATTCCTTTCGGGCTACATTGAAGGTAAATTTTAAAAATACGTGAGAAATGTAATTATTAGGTATTCATACGGAAAGTTGAATAGATGGAAAAGTTAAAAAAAAGTAATTTGGTTTGACAAAATTTTACTAAGAAAATATATGACAAAAAATGTGTCAACAGTGCATTACTCGAGTTTTCTCAAAAAACTATCCTCAAGTCTGGTTTCTAAACAACGCAAATTCTTATCTTTCTAAAAAAAGTTATGCATTTCACATTGATGAGTTTTGGTCAAAAACTGTTGAAACAAATATTGATTTTCTAAAAATCAAATTTCATTTGCCTAGAAAATTATTGAAAAAAATGGAACCAAACACCACGTTAGAGAAATAACAAAAGGGGTAGTTCCGTAGGTACTAGTTACAATAGTGCTAAGTAAAGATTATGGGGGATCAAGTCAAACAAAAACTCAAGATGGAGTAAAGATACTTAAATTTATATTTAAATTTTAAATATATGTAGGGTATCCACAATAATACATACATGGAGGCCAAATGTGCTGGTCTTTTATTTATTTGTTTGTTTTTATATATTTAGAACTCGTAGATAATTGCATCTAACTTTAAAAAGGGAAGGAAATTATAGCGAAATGCAGCCATGTAGTTGCTATATTGAAGAATATTTAGAGTTGTTTCTTTGTGAACTCAACAGCATGGGGAGATTTTGTTGTTGGTCGTGTGATGTTGAAAATGGTGTTTACTCTATTTCAGGATAGCCTTCTGCGTTGTCGCTGTTGATGATATGCAATCCAACTAGTTTATCCAAATATCATTTTGAAGAATTTATTGGTTTGGCACTCCTCGCTGTTTTTATAAGGTTGCTAATATTATATATTTTATAAGGTTTTATATTTATCATGTAATATAATGTAACCTCACTTTTCTTTCTCTCTCATCATTCTACTTTCTCTCTCCTTTTTATTGTATGTGTTGGAAACAATACTTAAATTATGTTACATAACATTAATAAAACCCTATTTTATATTACATGAATCACTTGCTAAGAAACTTTTCAATACAGAAAGGAAATGTATCACCAACAAAATTACGTTGAAACAACTTCAAAACATAAAATTCAAATAGAGGATAATATGCATCATAATTCCATTAAAAAATAAGTTGACTTTGTGTTTGAAATTTGAACAGTATTATCCCTTAAAATAAAATGTCAAAACCTTTTCTAACCCTAAATTAATATTGCTTTCACTTGCTTGTTCTCGTATGCTGCCTTTCTTCTGAAAAAAGAATTTTATTGTAAGAAGAAGAGTAATTTTGACTTTTTGCATAAAAGGAAAATATTCAAACAAAAAATTTATTATTAACTAAAAAGTTATTGATTAGCTAAAAAGATACACTCATCTAAGATTAATAAGTGTAAGTTATACTCACGTAAAATAAGAGAGTCTCCGGAGAAAAAAAATACTGACCCGTTTTTGTTTTCTTTCTTTTCTGTTTTGCAATTAGTTGGGCCAACTTGGAGTTTCATGTAGGATTTGACAGTCGGTCCGGCCCAATAATTTCTCTAGCTTCAATTTATGATCTTCAAAAGCAAAAATATCGTCAAGTACTATACAGAGGATTCATATGAGAGCTGTTTGTGCCATACCAAGACCCAACTGTGGATTGGTATTACCCAACCAACCTACTTTGATTGTGGAGAATTTGGATTTGGTCAATCTGCATCTTCACTACAGTTCAGCCTTTGACCGATTGTCCTGCCAATGCTGCGTTCCTAGATGCCATACCATGCTGACGATGGTACACCAGTTAAGATAGCTAATTCTACTAACTGATATTAAAACTTCATCTATATAGTATACTGTAATATCAGAGCAGAGAGAGAAAAGAGAAGTCTCTTGAAAATGGAAAAGCAGAAAGGTTACAATATATACACGTAGCTGACGTGGCACCACTAAAACAAGGAATACAATTACTTAGCTGAACTAACTATAACAGAAAATTAACTCACTAACAAACTGATAGCTAATTCTACTAACTGATATTAAAACTTCATCTATATATACTGTAATATCAAAGCAGAGAGACAAAAACAGAAGTCTCTTGAAAATGGAAAAGTTGCATTTTGAATTGATAATCAATTTCTGATACAGGTTACAATATATACACGTAGCTGACGTGGCACCACTAAAACAAGGAATACAATTACTTAGCTGAACTAACTACAACAGAAAAATTAACTCACTCACAAACTGATAGCTAAGTCTACTAACTCATCTATATGCTGTAATAGACTTGTTGCCCCATAATCTTCACTTAGCACTATTGTACCTACCTACCACTTGTGTTATTTCTCTAAGTCAATAGGGTGTTTCATTATAATAAAAGAACAAGACCGGGGTGTGTTTTTTGGACATATGATAGAACCATGAATATCTTGCTCTTCTTTATCCTCACGTTCTTTTGGTCCTCTGCAGAATGCAGCCAACCTCACCCACTTGACCCTCTAACCCCTAATGAGCTCATCCTTGTCCGAACCATAGTCCAAAAATCGTACCCAGTCTCAACCAACGGCCCCAGCCTCACTTTTCAATACGTAGGCTTGGACGAACCTAACAAGCCTCTCATCCTATCATGGATATCCTCAAACACAAACACAAACACAAACGACAAAACCAAATCCCTACCACCTCGTCGAGCCTTCGTCATAGCTCGGTTTCAAAAACAGTCTCTGGAGATCACAGTGGATTTGTCAACTCATTCCATCATCTCAACTAAAGTCTACGAAGGGCATGGCTACCCTATGTTTACCTTTGGCGAACGAAGCCGTGCGAAACAGCTACCATTCAGCTATGAACCATTTAAGGAATCGTTGAGGAAGAGGGATCTGAACATATCTCAAGTTCTGTGCGTTACCTTAGCGATTGGTTGGTTTGGAGAAGCCAAGACCAAAAGGACTGCGAAGATAACGTGCTTTTACACAAATGGGAGTGTTAATTTGTATGTGAGGCCATTGGAGGGTGTGGCAGCATTGGTTGACGTGGACGATATGAAAATTGTTAGTTACTCTGATAGATATGTGGTTCCAGTGCCTAAAGCAGAGGGTACTGAGTACAGAGCTTCAAAATTGAATCCACCCTTCGGTCCAAAGCTGAAGGGTGTTGCTGTCACGCAACATGGTGGACCTGGATTCACGATCGACGGTCATTCTATAAGGTAATATTTATTATAATTTATTTATTTATTTTGGACTTTACTGTTCAAGACTATATGTTTATTTATGTTACTTCGATGCTGATATCATTATTTCCTTTTTTATTTATTTTATGTAATCATCAGTTGGGCCAATTGGGTTTTCCATTTGGGATTCGACGTGAGGGCTGGCGCAGTAATTTCATTAGCATCAATTTATGATCTTGAAAAGAAGAAATATCGTCAAGTACTATACAGAGGATTTCTATCAGAAGAGTTTACGCCATATCAAGACCCAACTGAGGAATGGTATTACAGAACCTTATTTGACTCTGGAGAATTTGGCTTTGGACAGTATATGTCTTCACTGCAGCCCTTCACTGATTGCCCTGCCAATGCTGCATTCCTAGATGCATACTATGCTGGTTCAGATGGTACACCTGTAAAAATAACCAATGCCTTCTGCATATTTGAAAAATATGCTGGTGATATCATGTGGCGTCATACAGAAACTGCAATCCCAGATGAAGTGGTAATGTTTTTTTTTTTTCACTTTTAATTTTTAGTTTTGCGTTCTTGTTCCTTTTTTTCAGTTGATAAATATTCGTTGTGTTTTTGCCAGATAACTGAGGTCAGGCCAGATGCAAGCCTAATGGTGAGAATGGTTTCGACTGTGGGAAACTACGACTATGTCATAGATTGGGAGTTTAAGCCAAGTGGTAGCATCAAACTTGGGGTATGTATGGATTCATGCACCAATCTTTTAATGCTTTATGCCATGAGTGAAATTTGGATCCTTCCTTTCTTTATTCAAACTTGCAAATAGCAAATTTTGAAGTAACATAATCTAGTAAGTAGATTCACTATTTTTTAGAATTGATTTATTCATATGTGCTATTTATTGTGCAACTTGCTCTCACTTCTTTAAAAAGATTTCTGAAACAAATGAAACAGAGGTGCTCCTTTTCTGCAATTTGAAATTGAGAGGGACTTACAGATTTAAATAGCTCTTGACTTAATTATATTTTCAAAATCATAAATAATTTACCTTAAATTAGTAGTAATTAGCTTTTGTTTAGAAGCTAACTGCATGATATATTTTAATGTAGGTTGGGCTGACTGGGACATTATTGGTTAAGGCAGGGGAATACACCAATACTGATCAAATCAAAGAGGACATCTACGGCACATTGCTAGCAGACAATACCATTGGTGTCTACCATGACCACTTCTTGACCTATTATCTTGACCTTGACATTGATGGTGTAGCCAACTCCTTTGTCAAGTCCAATTTGGAGACTGTAAGAGTGAAAGGTCACACCTCACCCAGAAAAAGTTATTGGACAGTTGTAAGTGAAACAGCTAAAACAGAAGCTGATGCCAGAATTAACTTGGGGTTCAAGCCTTCTGAGCTAGTAGTGGTAAATCCTAACAAAAAGACAAAACCAGGAAATAAAATTGGATACCGTCTCGTTCCAGGCTCAGTGGTGCACCCACTTTTGGTAACTGATGATTATCCACAAATCAGAGCTGCCTTCACTAATTATAATGTGTGGGTCACACCATACAACAAATCTGAAAAATGGGCTTCAGGATTATTTGTTGATCGCAACAGAGGGGATGATACTTTAGCTGTTTGGAGTCTCAGGTGTGTTATTTACTATAAAAAATATAACATAATAGTTGATGGAGTAACGTTGCTTACTAGTATTTGCCCTCTCACACTTCTTAGATATTCTTTTATATATTATTGGGTAATCTTCTTGATTTCATCTTAACTTTTTTTTTTTTTTCCTTCCTTCTAAATAATTCAATTCAAAATTTGGCCATACTCCTCATGAAAACGAGGTCTGAGAAATGGTCTATGTTTTGGCATTGTCAATTGAACGTGCAGGGATAGGGAGATTGAGAATAAGGACATAGTATTGTGGTACACCATGGGAGTTCATCATGTTCCTTCTCAGGAAGATTTTCCAGTAATGCCAACATTGAGTGGTGGATTTGAGCTGAGACCGACCAATTTCTTTGAGAGTAATCCGGTCCTTAAAATAAAATCACCAAAAGCTGCGCACTGGCCTAACTGCACCTCTCAACATTAGTTTGGGTAATGCATTTGACTGAAACAACTCGAAGAAATCTGAAGGATTCATGTATTCTTGATTTTGTGGTTTCTTCAGTTTCCATAATCCAGTTGATAAATAAAATGCTACTACTATTTATTTACTTTTCTTAAGGTATGATTTGGTTGATATATATTAGCTTTTTGTTTTGTTTTGGAAAGGGAACAGTGGAGGCTGTATCTTCACTTTGATTCCTGGGTAGAGTCAGTTATAAAAAAAATTAAAGTCAAAATAATTAAACAAGGTTCGCTGAGGGTGATATTTTCAAAAAAAAATAAAAAATAAAAAAATAAGGGTTCGGATCAGGATTAGACGAGTTTTTAATTAATTAACACAAAACAAGACCCAATAATTATCAAATTTCATTTAATGCCATTTAGTTTAATCAAAGTATTTGAACATTTTTAAATATCGATTCAGTTAAGTTTTGATGTTTACGGATTTATTCAAAGTTCAAACCGATCATCACCTCTAAATAAAAGTCTTGAGGTTAGTTTAAAAAAAAAAAAAAAGGTCTTGAAATTGAAAGCACGAGGAAGGATGGAAAGGAAAAAAGGCAAAAGAAAAAAAAAACGTGGAATAAGAAGAGGACAAAATGCTTTAGGCCAAGCATTGGCTGAAGGAAAAGTCAAAACAAATACGCGTAAATTTATTATTATTATTATTTTTTACGAAAAAAAATAAGAAAAAGAAAATGAGCGAAGATGAAAAAAATGATGGAAAGAATTTGTACAATAAGCAGGCAAGAGAGAAAATCTTTAATAGCATCATATGAGGTATAATAGAAATGAGATAATTTCAGAGAAGTAAATCAAAGTTATTAAATAAGAAAGTTGTTTATGGTCATATCATATGTGGTTTATATACTATTAAAGATGGGATAAATAACAATAATGTTACAGGAAAAGGATTCATGTAACGCAACACCAACGAACAAAATTTTTTTTATTGAAAAAAGTGTCTCTTCTAATTCTTTATTATTATTCAACTTGTCATTTTTTGTTGCAGGAAACAAAATTTGTTGCTGTCACGTGACGAAACCAAAGCCCATTAAAGATATACCAAATTATAACTTTTTTATGGTCATATCATATGTGGTTTATATACTATTAAAGATATACCAAATTATTTAATTATTACAGTAATTTTAAGTAATTATTAACTACAAAATTAAACACCAATTCAATAAACTCAACCAATTATAACCACAGTTTCCATCATATTCATTACCCTTTTAAATTTAATAATAGATAAATACTTTCAAATGAAGATAATAGTCAAGATCGACAGTTATAAATAATTTGTGATTTATATATTTTTTTAAATAAGAGAATTTGTTTATATACGCTGGACATATGTGATTTATACATTATTAAAGATATAAAAAATTATTTAATTAATCGCAATGCTTTTACCTAACTATTAACTAAATAATTAATCACCTACTAAAGAAACTCAACCAACCACTTGTAATTACAATAATGCAAACAACGAGATTAGTACTTCACAGAGTGAAAACATGCACTACACGATAATATTTAAAAATTAAAAATTTAAAAAAAGTTAGTTTCTTAAATTTTTTGAAAAATAGCTTTTGTTTAGAGGCAAAATCCAAAATCCTCTATAAAAGACAGCAACAAACACGGAAATATTTAATATGCTCTAAGATCACTTAATGATTTGGTGCTCTCTCTCATAACATTAATTTTTTCTTTCTCATTTTATTCCTGCTATTTTTTTCTTTTAAAATTTTATCCTTCCATTTATACTAAAAGACTAACTAAAAAATAGTGGTCCCAGGCCACGATAAATTCTATCAACAAACACATGCTGAAAGCAAAAGTAAAACGTGCAAAAAAAAAAATCAGACAAAAACTGTGCGATTGGGTGCTCAACTAAAACAATAAAATAAAGGTATATATACATGGTTTTTTAGTGGGTTATAATACTTAATAACATTACATATTTAAATTACAATAGGAAAATATAAGAATCATGTTGTAGGAATGACACTGTTCATTCCTGCAACAAGGATACGGCGTCGTATCCTAAGGATACGGCGTCGTATTCTGACTTTGGTCTGACTTTTTTTTTAAGCGTGGGACCCACACTTGATTTGTGTGTAGGAAAATGCTCTTGTCATGTCAAATGACAAAAAGGGAACCCATTACAATAACACATCTTTTATTGTTTTCGTTCCTTTCGTTTTGTGTTTCTTACGAAAATATTTATTATGCTCCAGGACCATTCAATGATTGGGTGTTCCCTCTCACAACACTAATTTTTTCTTTTTCTTTTTACTACTGCTATTTTTCTTCTTTTTTAATTTTACCTTTCCATTTACACTAAAGAACCACTTAAAAAATAGTGGTCCCGGTTCACTATAAATTCTCTCGTTCCTTGCCGTGAATTCCAACCATCAGCTTCCGCCCTACGCCGTACTCAGCATATTCTACTACATCATATGATATGGTTGACTCGGTCCATCGAAATATGATATTATATTTATTCATTTAATTATTATTTAAGAAACTATTAGATATTAGGTATAAGGGTAGTTTGGTATTTTAATGATATTCTAGATCTCTCTTTTCTGTTATGCTCTTCTATATAAGAGCTCACTCATTGTACAAATCAATTACCACAATCAATGAAATCAATATTTTCTCTTTACTCTCTTTTACCTTCTAATATGGTATCAGAGCATTTTTATCCTCCATGATTGGAGGTTCCGCTGCCATCGATTTTTTTTTTCCTTTCATCATTTTTCCTTACCCATTGGTCACTTTCCCTTTCATCTTCTTTCTCGTTTTATGGTTTTCCAGGTCTACAGATCATCTAGATTGTTCTAGATCTGTGATTTCTTCATTGTCTTAGATCTACGGCGTTCCTGTGCTAGCAAGCTAGCAGTCAGCAACATCGTCTTCAGCGCTCCGCCGCTGGTTCACCATCAGTGCATCGTTTGTTTTAGATCTGTCGCCGTTCATTCACCGCCCAGCTAAGATTGTTTCCTATTTTATTTTTTATTTTTGGTTTCGGGTCGTCTTCTTCAATGGCTTTCCCGAAAACCTTTTATCTCTATGTGTTCCTCCGGGCGTCTCCTTCTCCGGTCATCATCTCCGGTCATTCATTTGCCTTCTGTCGTTCTTCTTTGCACAGATCTGTCGCCACTCTGGTCTCTGTTCTTCCAGATCTGATTCGGATCGTTGGTTTTTTGGACCATCGTGCTTGCTGTTTGAGTTCATGTTCCTGTTCGTCGGAACCAGATCTGGTTCAGGTCTCAGCCGTTCGTCTTCGCAGTCTTCATCTCGTAACCACTCTCCTCCCTTGTCGCCGCTTCAATGCATTCCCTCGCCGGAGACTCTCTTCCTTCTCTCTCCCACAGATCTGTGTCTCTTTATTTTTATTTTCATCCAGATCCGTGTCTCTTTATTTTTATTTTCATCCAGATCCGTGTCTCTTTTCTTTTCTCTTTCTATATTGGGTTTCTCTCTTAACTCTGTGAGTTTGTGAACATCTGATTTTAGATCTGTTTGCTGCATTTTTTTTTCTTCCTTTCAGATCTGTTTCATTTGATTTTAATTTTTTGCACTTTTTGTTTCCCATCATCCCTGTTCTTAGATCTTAGATTTGTTTTATTTTTTCTCTATTTTTTTTTCTGCCATCGTTCCTCCACTGGCGTCGTGTCACTGTTCAGCGTTCATGGCTGTTCTATTTCTCGTTCTTGTCTTCGTGCGACCTGTCAACCACCGAGCCGCGTCGCTCCTGTCTTCGTCTGTACCTCCATGGATCTTCATCATGTCTGTTCCTATTCTTCAGATCTTTGCCGTGTTGACAGCCTCGTTCTCTCTTTGTTGTTGCAATACTCAGATTTTATTTCTGGGTTATTTGTTGCACACTAATTGTTTGCTGATTTGTGTCACCAAGTCATTAAGCTTTAGTTTCTGCAATTTTGTTCAGAATTCATTTTTGGGTTATGTATTTGTTTTCTGAATTTTCTTATGTTGCCATTTCTATTTTGGAAGTTTAGTTGATGTTAGGCTTGTATTTGGCCAATTTGATTTTATTCCCACTTATGTTTGTGGTGTTATTTAAGTCTGATTTGGCTTGTATTTGATTTATTTTTTCCATTGTTTGGTTTTATTTTGGCTTCCTATTCAGGCGGAGCATTGTTCATGTTGCTGATGTTCATTTCAGCACATTCGATTTTGCCGATGTCCATCCCGGCAGTTCATATCAAGGTTGCTGATGTCCATCCCAGCCCTTCCTTCCTTTGCTGATGTCCATCCCAGCACATTTTAGCTGATGTCCATTCCAGCACTGTTTCTTTACTGGCTGATGCTCATGTTATTTGGTTACTATGTTTTCTTGATTTTTCTTGTTCAAGATGGAAGTTATCTTTGTTCACTCTCCATCTTGAGGGGGAGTATTAGATATTAGGTATAAGGGTAGTTTGATATTTTAATGATATTCTAGATCTCTCTTTTTCTGTTATGCTCTTCTATATAAGAGCTCACTCGTTGTACAAATCAATTACCACAATCAATGAAATCAATATTTTCTCTTTACTCTCTTTTACCTTCTAATAGAAACCAAGCACTTAATCAGGAAAGTTTAAGAAATAGCTGTGCTGGCTCTCTCATTTTACCGACACAGTGTAGTCATGAAGATCTTGATCTTCTTTGTCTTCACCATCTTTTGGAGCTTTGGAGAATGTAGCCACCCTCACCCACTTGACCCTCCAACCCCTTCCGAGCTCAACCTTGTCCGAACCATAGTCCAAAAAGCATACCCGAGCAACATCACCTTTCAATATGTAGGATTGGATGAGCCAGACTAGTCCACTATCCTCTCATGGCTATCCTTAAACTCAAAGGCCAAAACCAAAACCAAAACCTTACCACCGCGTCAATTCTATGTCGTGTCCCGTTACCATAAACAGTCCCTGGAGATGATAGTGGACTTGAGAACACGATCCA